GAGGCTAATCTACTATTTGATCTTCTCTCTTTTCTTGTCCAAAAAAGAGGGGGAGGATAATGTGGAGGTGTGTTAGAGCAGCCTTGGCTTGGACAATTTGGGAAGAGAGGAATGCAAGAATTTTCTTTGAGAACGAAAGAAGCAAGGAAGAGATAACGGATTGTGTGATGTGTAGGGTGATCCATTGGATCAAATCCTTACACTTGTTCTCTCAATTTTCTCCTGATGATATATGGAGAAATCCATTGGATCAAATCCTTGAATTTTGATGGGACTAGTAGGGGAAATCCAGGACCTGTTGGTATAGGAAGGGTTGTGAGAGACTTGGAAGTTAAACTGAGAGCTTTGTTTCTGGCCAAATGGGGATTGGGGAATCTCTCAAGGCAGAATTGTTTGCGGCCTTATAAGGTGCACAAATTGCTAAGGGCAAATTTCTTAAACTACCCCTAAGGTTTAAGGAAATTAACTAACTCTATCCCTACTGTTTTAATATTGTCTTAAAATACCCCTATTATTTCTGACAATTGACTAAATCCTCCCCTACTATTAACTTTCCGTCACACCCGATTGCATATGACATCACGTGACAGATTTTTTTTTCAAAAATCCCAAAAATACCCTTTGAAATCTTTCTTTCTTTCTTTCTTTTTTTTTCCTGTCACATGCTGCTGCAACCTTATGTAGTGATTTCTCTCTCTCATCTCTAGCTCTAGTTCTCCCCCCCTCTCTCTATCTCTCTCTATTTCTCGCCGGGCAAGGAAGTCCGCGACTGTGCAAGCACTCTTCCAAAACTAATCTTAGGGTTTATTATACAGAAACACAAAATTCGGTTTGTCTTTGAAGTAGGGAATATCCTCCTCTTCTTTGCCTGCTTGCCCATTACATCTTTGAATAACATTACGACTTCAAGTACACGATGGAGGGAGAATTAAGGGGGAAATAGGGAAGATTTTATTAAAAAATCATTCAATTGGAATCCAAAAGATGGGATCAAAAAGAGAAATCGAGAAAAAATGTCAAACCCTGGTGTGACTGGTAGTGGGAGGGACTAGATCTTATCAATGTCCTTGTCCTCAAACTTGATGTAATCATCGGTGGCTCCCTCATCTTCCTCATTGAGACCAACAACAATGCCTTCATTGAGCCTGGTATTCTTAGGCAACTCGTTATAGGCCTTCAAGAGAAATCGAGAAAAAATGTCAAACCCTGGTGTGACTAGTGGTGGGAGGGACTAGATCTTATCAATGGCCTCGTCCTCAAACTTGATGTTATCATCGGTGGCTCCCTCATCTTCCTCATTGAGACCAGCAATAATGCCTTCATTGAGCCTGGTATTCTCAGGCAACTCGTCATAGGCCTTCAAGAGTCTAACCTCGTCGGGGCCATCACTGCTGATCTCGTCGGTTGCCTCTTCTCTCCCTCTCTCGATCCCCTTCTCTCTCTCTCTCTCGTTTTCTCTTTCTCTGCCACTGCAACTTGGGCTTTAATCCATTTATTTTCTTTATTTATTCTAAATTATTATTATTTTCAAAATCAAGATCTAGTTGCCCTTTTCCTTCTTAAAAAATCAGACAGAAACCCCAATCTAAAATCCAAGCAGCTCAGGTAGAAAATCTGGTCTCTCTCATTTTGAAAATTTGAAGGAGAATAATGGGTAAAATAGCCTTCTTCATTTTCCCGTTAATGGCAAGGAGGATTTAGTCATTTGTCAGATACAATAGGGGTACTCTAAGATAATACTAAAACAATAGGGGTAGAGTTAGTCAATTTCCTAAACCTTAGGGGTAGTTTAAGAAATAACTAAATATAACCAACTTGGTGATTGAAAGAGATTCAAAATTTGTAATATGGTGCCATGGGGGTGAGATAAAAAAAATTCTTGTGGATCACTAAGGCCCCGTTTTGGCGCGTCTTTCCGCGTGGGCTGCCCGTTGTTTAGAAGCCCGACAGCCCACGTTTTGGTCTTTTACTGTTTGGTTGGGAAAAGATCTAGCTTCCAAAAGATGTCACCCCAAAAAGATGCGGAATCCCGTTTGGGCTGTTTTCATCGTGTCTTCACGAGGGAAGACGTGCCTTAACCAAACGGTCTTTAGGCTGCCAAGATCTTAATGCAAAAGCTCACATCGTCTTTTGGCTGTCAGGTCTACCGAAAGATCTTTCAAAACAGACTTGCCAAACGACATCTAAGATATGAACTTGAGGATACAATGGATGAGGAGATCAGCTAATGGGTTATTGAATGCTTTGGCCAAGCAAGGGGTGAATAAACAGTCTATGTTTTGGTCTCACTTGTAATTCTTATGTTTTATTTACAAAGAGGTAGCAAATCGTGCCTCTCTAAGGGACACTTGTAATGCTTATACTTTTAGACTTAATAAAATTTGAACTCATTTATAAAAAAAAAAAAATCAGCTGGTATTCATCAAAATTCATGGGAGGTTTCAGATTGGTCAAAGTTCTTCCAGCATTATAGATATTTCCGTATAATAAACATTACATACATATTTTAAAATATTGTTTTAGTCATCATGTTCAGCTAATTTGAATTGAAAGAGAAGATACAATTGAAAGAAACTATCATTGAAAGCATGCCAGTTAAAGTGGCCTATTGGGTAAATTTATTTGACGCCTTCTCTCATTTCACTACTCATGACATCATCTAGAATTGGAATATTGTGACTGACATGATTAAGTCCTCTCTTGGGAGATCATCAAACATATTATGGACTATTTTTTTTTTTGATCAATAACAAGAACATATTATGGACTATGCCCCTTCTCTATATACTCAAGATGAATTTTGATGGCTCTAGTCTTGGTAACCCAGGGGATTCGAGTGGAAGGTGTGTTTAGAAACCATGAAGGGCATATTGACAGTATTCTTTGGCCCCAATTGGGCTTGATGACTTCAGAAGTGTGGAACTTGGCAGTCCAATATGAATTTATGTTGGATAAACCTAAGCTTTAGAGATGTATTGGTGGAAAGTGACTCTTATGTAGTTGTTGGCTGGCTCACAAGTGGAAATGGGGGTTCATGGTAGTATAGACATGACATTGAGACATTAAAGTGATGGATAGGGAGATTGGAATCAATTGCATATGGATACCAAGATCAGCTTGTAAGACAATGAATATATATATAAAGTAAAACCTCGTTGATTCGACTATAATACTACTATGTTCGAGTTTGCTCGATTCGTTTAAATATTTGATGAGCTTGAGTTCGGCTTGAATGCTTAAAAATGAATATATTTATTATATATGATATATTTTTTATAATATATAGGTTCTTATATTATATATTGAATATAAAAATATTTTCATAATATATATTATTTTTGCATTTATGTATGTATGTATGAAAGCTCGCAAGCTTTCAAGCCAAGCTTTTTATTGGTTGAGCTCAAGTTTGAATAACTAATTGATCTTACCCTGAGGTTTAAACTTGATTCGACCTCGATTAGAATCAAACTTGAATCTTGAGCCCGAAGTATTCAAGCTCGAGTTAATTTAGCCTTAGAAGGCCAAGGTCAAGCCCACTTTATGAATCACCATGTGAGGTCGCCTCACGGGTCACCTTGCGAAGCCACATTATCTTAACGTCATGAGTCGTTTTTCAGTATTACGTTATTACCTCACGAAGTCATAGTACCTTAGCCTTATGAGTTGCCTCATAAAGACCTTATTAATTTCTCCTTGTAAGATTAAACTACTTCACCTCACATGGCTGCAATTAGCTAGCCACATGAGGCACTGAAAATCAAATTATATGTCTTGTGAGGCAAGTCAAATGCCGATTGAACAAATGCCATGAGGCTAGAGTAAGATATAGTAAGGATCATGTTGAGGGTGTCAGACGCGTGATCAGTACCCTAGGGAAACCACAATTGGTTATACCTGAGTGTCATATTGACACACACCACTCTTTGAGAAGGCTCAAGATCGTGCTCTAACAACCTTGTGGTCTTGAGGGACACGTGTCCCAAAGGGAGAAACAAATGGGATTTGCCTCTAGGCATTGCCCAAGTTGAGAAATATTCTGGAATTCTAGATCCATGCAACGAAGTTTTGTCACCTCACTTCTATGAATAGGGAGACTGTCTTCTATGAAAGGGATCGGATATTCATTCCGCTTAGAGCTAAGTCCCATCTCTTAGGGCTCGTTTGGCGCGTCTTTTTGGGAAGATCTTTTGGTTGCTCTGACAGTCAAAAGACGCATTGAGATTTTGCATGAAGATCTGAGTAGCCCAAAGCACGTTTGGCAGATGCGCGTCTTTCCGTGCATCTTCCTGCATCTTTCCGCACGAGAATAAAACCTGAAAGACGCGAGAAGCTTCATTTGGAGCTTCCTGAAATCAGCCCAAAATGGGCTTTTTGCGTCTTTTCGGCGTTTCGTCTTTTGGCAGCTAAATCTTCTGCGTGCCAAACGGAAATAGACCGAAAGTTTGTCTTCCTGGCTTGTAAACAGCTGAAAGACCGTGCAGAAAGACGTGCCAAACGGGCCCTTATTCTCTTCGGTGACATCTTCCTTCCTGCTTCCAAGACTCTTAAGTCCATCCTTATCCCTATTGGCTTACACAGAAAATGTATGGTTGATGCACTTGCAAGACAAGAAGCAGGTAAGGAATGAATTGTATTGGGGATTGATCCCACAAGAGGGAAATTTGTACTTTAAGAAAGGAAATGCAAGGATGGTTAGCTGGTGCTGGCCCATTGTTAGGATAGCTTTGGCTTATTTTACTTGTATAGCATTCTTTATATCCAAATTAATAAAACTTGACTGTTACTGATTAAAAAACAGTCACCACTAAAATCTCATCTTACTCATAGACGATGACTTCTTTGTTAGTTTTCTGCGTCAGATTCATTTTTCAATTTTAAGACATTCATATGGTTTTAGTTTTTGATTTTGTATGTTACATCAGATTCATATTGTCCCTTAGTTTTATTTGGAGATATAGCGGAAATGTTACTCTGACTATATGAATTATGTTGCTCAGCCTCAAGTAAAGCTATTATCAAGGAGTTGGAAAGGATTGATAACCTCTTTCACTCATATGCAAATAAGTCCTCTGGCATGATTGAGTAAGTACATTCCATCTGAATATTTGATCTTTGACTTGCATTTGATTTAACATAGTTCAGTTATACTTATAGAAAATCATGTATTCATTGTGTTTCTTTGTATTAGTGATTAAATTCAATGTGACTACATATGGTCACCAACTTTTATGGTCTTCCACTCAGAGATGGCTGATGGACACATCAATCACGGTGGTAGTTATTAACTTCAGTAATGGAAATGATAACCTGCTAATGAGATAAGAGTGTCCCTCATTACTTAAATGAGACAAAGTAAACCTTACCTTGGAGGATTCTTCATTTCTTGCAAGATATTCATGATATTTTAGCATCCATTCAATATGACTTTAGATGGATTCCCTGAAACTTAAACTGTTTGGCAGTTACTTCAGCCAAAGCTGGAGTGGGAAGGGATTTTTGTATAGTGCAAATTCCTATCAACTATCTTTGGCTTTTGGTTTTTTGGTATGTGAAGTACCTGTTTATACATATCCTCACGTACATCCTTACGTTTTGTTTTGAATAAAAGTTACCTTTTCTTCTGAATCTCCAGAAAAAAAAACACTCTTACCTAATCTTCTGTTATAATGAAAAGTTGTAGAGGAGAAATCTAATGCCTCAGCCAATTTTTGTGTCTCTTCTATGTTCTCTCCATGAATAATCTGGTCCCTCCAAATCTCATAATCTACTTTTTGATGCACACCAACAGAAAAGAATAGTTTCTCTCTTTATTTCATCATTAGTAAGTTTCTGCCATCTTGCTTCTAATCACCAATTAGAATGTCTCTCCTCCTTCCCTTCTTTATCAATGTTCATTCTTCAGCCATGTTTTGGTTATTTTCGCCAGAAGCACTGATGTTGAAGGAATAGGATTCAGGGAGAGGAGGAAAAATTCAAAACAATGATGACATCCAAGCAACTAACAAATGCCTTGAAGCCTCAGGTATAAGCAACCTGAAAATACAACAGCCACCACAAAAATGAACAAACACATCTTCTTTTCCATCATCCCAACCAAGCACCAACAAAGATCCCAACAAATTCAATCTACCACTTAATACTTAGCTCAAACTAACACATGGTAGATTGGAGCCTTCCTGCATATTGGACCTCTCCCTTTTCCTCTGGTATCTATACCTCTGCCATATCACTTTCCATATATTTCTTTCTGTTCTTGACACCAAATCTTTCAATTTCTTCTTCAATATAGCTTGCCTCCATGAAGTCAATATTCTCTTTCCTGCTCTCTATGGATCCTTTGTAGTCCTCTGTCCTACTTTTCCAAGTACTGAAAGTATTCAGATACAAAACATTGGGGTAAGGAAAGCTGAAAATTAAGTATATGACATTATAAACATATTTGTCAAGGCGAAGCCTAGGCAATAAGGCGCTCATGGAGGGCCATCTTGCTTACTCACCAAGATAATTTTTACACAGTGCTCTTGGATACTTTTATATTCTTAACTTTTTGATATTATAATAATAAATAGACATTTTTACACTAAATTATTCAGTTTAAGTTAAAATACTAGTTTCTTTTTATTATTTTTCTCAATTGTTAAGGTTCCTACCTTGAACACTCAAAAGACTTCAAAACTTAAACTAAGCATGGAACAACTCAAAATTTTATCCAATTCTTCTTTTCCTAGGACAATAATAGTGGCTCTACTCCTCTGTATTTTCTGAAGTTTCTTTTTTTTTTCTTTCATTTTTTTCATGAATATGTTGATTTTTTATTGGTTTTGTAACCCACCAGGATCTTTCTAACAGTATAGATAACCTACTAATTGTCATCATTATAGTAATAATACTAAGGTGTTGGAAAAGCTTTGAAACTTTCACTGGCTTTTAACTTTCTAGGATAAAGCAATTGCTTTAAAACCAGACTGGACTGAAGCTTTCGAACTATTGCTGACCTGAACCAGTCATAATTTGGTTTGATCCAGTAAACAAACTGAATTGATAAAAACCCAAAAACCATTTTATGGACCATCTGCTATCGTTTTCAAAATAAAAATTAAAAATGAATGAAGAAACACAATATATACATTCATAAAAAAGAAACACAACAAATACTAGTGCTATCAAAGTGTTGACTGGTTAGTTGAGGGCCAGGCCTGCTGCATCATTAACTAGTTGATTGATACTCATGATGTGGCTCCTAGGATGACTATGCAACAACTAGGTAGACTAGTCAATTAACGACTAGTCAACCTAGTCAACTACAAAGTTATTTTAAAGCTTTATTTGTTTGTGTTTCTTTGAATAATATAGAAATATGCTTTTATTTATATGAATGCTGTTGCTTAAAATTTTGTGACGGAAAATGATTGGCTGATGGCATAGTTTTCAAGGCGCCAAGGTGAACCTAGGCAACAAGAAAGCGCATAGTCGCCTAGTCACCTAGGTGCCCGCCTACGCCCCTGTTTTTTGTTGTAGAAATCAAGGTTCAAAGTATCGACTTGTCCGATACGTATCGTTCTGGGACCCCACTGATACGCCCCTATAGTGGGTGTATTGGGGGTTGACCGGTTCAGGGGATGGAGGAGACCTAAACCAGCCCCTCTGAACCGGTTTCAGAAAAAAAAAACTAAAAAAATAGTATCGATTCGCCCGATATGCCCATACCGGCGTATCGGCCGTATAGATATTTTGAACCTTGGTAGAAATATGAGTAAAAGTAGGGGTCTAGCCCCTATTCTTGTCATAGAAAAAAAGAAAGCATGAATAAAATCCTTAGAAATGATGAAGAAGAAAGGGTAGTTCCCTATTTTTGTTTTCCAAAAAAAAGGGGTGGAGACCCTGTTTTTGTTCAAGGGGTGGAGACCCTGTTTTTGTTCCAGGGGTGGAGTGGTGGAGACAAGCCTCTGTTTTTGCTCCAGAAGAAAAGAAAGGGCGGAGCCCCTGTTTTTGTTCCAAAAAAAAAAAAATAGAAAAAGAAGAAGGGGCGGAGCCCATGTTTTTGCTCCAAAAGAGAAGTGGAAGAAGGGGTAAAACATGCCTTCAATGATTGTTGATTTTCCTTGTTTCTTCAAAGACTTTGAATAACTATCCTTGTTTATTCAGTCTTCGAATAGCCATCAGAACCATAATGAAATAAGAAATTAATAAAAAATATATTATTTTATGAAAGAAATAAGAAGAACGATTGTGTATATACTTATTTTAATATTATAAGCTCAAAATATAAACAAATATAATCAACGCTATAAAACTTGAAGAGTTAATATATAAATGGCATGTCATTTGGGTGAGGCAAGCCCCAAAAAGCTCCGAGGCCTCATATATGAAATAGAAGGTAAAAAATAATGGATGAGTGGTGTGTTGCTATGAAGCTGCCACAAATAAAGGGCATATTAGATAGTCAAGGCTTGCTTTCTCTAGGAAACAAAGGCAGTTCCCTATTTTTTGGTCATTAAACAAAGATTGTGAACTGAATGTTCAATATCATTCTTTTATTTCATGATTTTAGTCTGCATTGACTTATTTGCATCAATATTTTAAGCTCAGAAGATATATCGTTTCATTTTTTTTTGGTCATTGCATCAACTAGAGAGGCCAAACAATGTCATCACTTCACCACATTCATTACACTAATAAACAAAAAGCCCTTTTCTCCAAAACATAGTCTGGCCAGACATTGGTTGGTTGAGAAGTGTAACAGGAGTCCTAACCATTCCAGTGGTGGCCATATTTGTTTTTGATAGTGGAGTACCAAAGAGTTGACTTGGGAATTGGTGGCCATATGCCCATATTTTCGGGAGTATCAAGAAACACTTTGGGTCAAACTTCTTGTCTACTTTAAAATTGGTTTGAGTCCGTTTACCTTAATAGAAGGTTGATGTATTAGGTATTTTGGTTCTGTTTTCTTTTTCTGTTTCTGAGGAGCAATATATTAGCTATAATTTTTGTTGTTTTTTCTGTACCAGGGTGATGCCTTGCCACCCTTAATCTCATGAAGGTTATGTAGTCTTTCTCTATCTTAATAATACTTTCCTTTTGTCTGTTACCAAAAAAAAAAGCCAATTCCCAAAATGACACATTTTCATCTTTCGATCTCCTAAGTTCAAACCACTATTCAGACATAGTACTCCAATATATGTAGTAGTCCTTTTAGAGTTTTACTCTCTCAAAGTAGTTCCTTTAATAGTCTTCTCTTTTTTCTTAATGATTTTGATTTAGGGGGTGGGGGGCATAAAAGCAATAAAGAGGAGAAAAAAAGAAATAATCCAGGAGATTAGTGTGTATATATATATATATATATTTGATAAGTGTAACCCTACCTCAAAGAGAGGTAGTTCTTTTTAACATTCTTCAGATATCTTTTATCATCATATGCGGAAAAAAGAAATAGACCCAATGTTCCCTTCTAAACCCTAACTCCTAGTGCAATCCTCATATGGATCCCCACAATGTTATACCTTAGAGAGAGAGTCCTTAATCCCAACTCTGCCACTCAACCATAGGGATGTTCATGGGTCGGTTCGGTTCAGTTTTAGGTTGTTTTGCTAACTGAACTGACCTGGTTGGATTGGGGAATTGGTCATCCGAAATCAAGTGACCATTAGTGAAAACCAGCCAACTCCGATTGTATCGGTTTGGGTCAGTTTTCGGTTTGGTTGGTTGGTTCAAAAGATTTAAACTTAAAAAATTAAATTTAAATTTTAAAAATTACAGCAGTATTGTTAAAAATAAATAAAAAATAAATTTATATAATATATATATATATATATATCTGTGGTTGGTCAGTTCGGTTTTGGTTGGTTTACAAATGGCCAAACTGAAACGAACTCAACCTGGTCAGGTTGGGAAATTGCTGAACTGAAGCTGACCGAAAATACTAGAAAACCGACCAACTTGGGTCGAGTTGGTTGGTTTCATCGGTTTGATGAACAACCCTACTCAACCACTTGAAGAATAGACTACAACTTTATAGTATTACACGGTTTCTAGGATATTATTCGTTTGCTTTATAAAACCTGATTGTATTTATTACTGATGATGTCGCATGTAATCTTCGTTAAATGTTTTTTTTTTATATACTTCCCTTCCATTTACATGATGCTTTTTTATTCCATGAAGCCCATTACATGTTTCTCACATGCATGAATTTACTTGAACAGCCCAGAAGGAATAGAGGCACTTTGTTCAGATATAGAAGTGGACCATACTGATGTGAGAATCCTGATGTTGGCTTGGTGAGTTATCTGTTATGGATATATTTCTGCAGGGTTCTTTTCAGTTTTCCCAAGAATGTGTTGTAAAACTAATAAACTGCATCCATTAGGAAAATGAAAGCTGAGAAGCAAGGATATTTTACCCTGGTATGCCACATAATTCTCTTATGTAATAGTTCTTAGTTTCCTTGGTGGTTTGAATGCTAGTATTATCATTTATTATCTTGATGATTATCTATCTAATATAGCCTTCTGTTTATCTGTTGTCTACTCCGTAGTTATTTGTCATTACCAATTTGGGCTATCTGTTCTTAGATTGTTTATGCTGTTTATCAACAGTAAAACATTATATTATGGTGTCCATGGTGGGAATCCAAGTTCAACATTGATGGTTCCAATCTACTTGATGTTTTATGTCAAAGATCAGTTTGGTAGGATAGGTGAATGCTAATGCTATGTATATTACGGTTACCTGATCCAACTCATTTTGATATTCATGGTTTCATACATTCAAGTTGGAACCTACTGAATGGTGGGCCCATACCCTTTGGCATTTGTGCTAATTAATGTGGTATTCTGATAGTACATAATCTACATTACCTTGAATTTCCCTTCCCCTTGTGTCATTGTTTGATATCAAGGGAATCAATCCTTCTCTTAATAGGATGAGTGGCGAAGGGGTCTAAAAGCATTGCGAGCTGACACTATTAGCAAATTAAAGAAGGCACTCCCTGAGCTGGAGAAAGAGGTATTTAGACTGGAAAAGAACTCTCTTATAAGAAGATAACTTTGTATCTGTGCTGATGTTCTTACATTCATAAACAGGTCAAGAGGTCACCAAACTTTGTGGATTTCTATGCTTATGCATTTCGATACTGCCTAACAGGTGGATAATTCTTTTCTGGCATGTGGCTTAACACCTACTGAATGAAAAAAAAAAATCAAATTTTCTACCACAACCACTAGTTTTGACTTGCTATTTAATGTCTTAGAGGAGAAGCAAAAGAGTATAGACATTGAGAGCATCTGTCAATTGCTGGATCTTGTGTTAGGTTCACACTTTCGTCCCCAAGTAGACATGCTCATTGAGTATCTAAAGGTGAGTGGGCAATCAGTTTCACATAGCTTCTTGAGTTCGTAACTTTGGGTGAAGTTTTTCTGATTTGTCTTAACTGCCAGGTTAATTTTACAAGATCTTTACCTGTATATCGGGCAAAAGTTTCCTGTCTTATTTTTTCCCATTTATGACATTGCTAAAATTTCTAAACTTGATTTACTAAAATATATATATGTTTTTCACCAACTGTATACAGACCCAGAATGATTACAAGGTGATAAACATGGATCAGTGGATGGGCTTTCTCCGATTTTGCAATGAGGTATGCCTAATGGTCTTGCCATTGCTTTTTCGAATGTTTTCTATAGCTTATGAGTATGCTCTTTCATTTTTCCTTTTAATTTATGGAAACTGGCATCTGATCCAACATTTTCATTTCCAGATAACATACTTTCTAAGTTGAATAAATTTTGTGCTATGTTTTGGGTCATCTTGGATTCCACTAAAAAGCATTGAGGAGTTATTTTCATCTTATCTATTTTCTTGTCATACAAAAGGCAAAAATTAAAGTGGGATTGCAAAAGAAGTACACCATTGTAGAGCCAAAGAAATGCAAATGATGAATATTGTCATATGATCCCTTAAAAAGTATTGCTATGGATGAATCAATGAGTTGTGTTGACAGATTGTAGCTGGATTTTCAAATAGAAGGCAGAAAATAATGACTAAAATGGAGGGCCTTGAGTAAGGAAGGAGAAAATTTAAATTTTGTTGGGTGGAGCTTGGTAAACAGGAGGCTTCGGGTAGGAGGTGTGGTTAGAGATAACAGAGGAAATATCTTACTTTGATTCTTAGGGCCCGTTGGTATTGGAAACTGTTTAAGCGTAGAACTATTAGGCCTATTACAAGAACTAAGATTTGCCACAGCTACAGGCTGGACAGATTTCCAAATTGAAGGGGACTGTAAATTGGATGATATCAGGGGAAGAAACACCGTGTTTACTAAGATATGTGGTTAGAGAAGCAAGAGGCTTGCTATAAATCAGAATTGTTGGTTTATTTTCCTATTTTGTTTAGGAAATTATTAGTAAGTCAACTACCTTTTTTCTCTGAGTTTCTATTTTGTGAATTTATATTCTTCTCTATGGTTCTTTCTTTTTTCTCTTGAAAATCAGTATTGGAGAAAAATGTTAGTCTCCATTTGATTCACAGGAATAGGGGTCCGGAACTGGAATGAGCTGGTATCAGAATGGCCCATTCGGATTCCATCTGTTTGGTTGGGCAGAAGCAGAATCCGATTTCCATTCCTAGTGGAATGGCATTCCTCCCTTTGCGCGAATGGCCATTCCCTCCCCTTCCTTCAGAACTAGAATCCCATTCCATCGAATTCCGGTTCTGATTCCTATCTGAACCAAACAGGTGGGGGAATAGATTATTCCAATTCAGATCTCAGGGATTTTGATTCTTACTATGATTCCAATTCCAACTGCGAACCAAACGGACCCTTATTTCTTTTTATCTCTTCATTAATTTATAGCGGTTTTTCTACTACTACGAGAAAAAAATGCAACTTTTCTCTTGATTTTCTCTTGGGTTCAGAGTATATTTTGTTGGCTTTTATAGCAAGGGTACCCATCAACATTGCCTTCTACTAGCCCCTATTTTAAGTAGATTCTCTAGTATGAATATAGTTCACTAAGGACAATCTTGTTTGGGGTACATCAAAGGTGGAGAGAAGTAAAAATCTTTCATATTGAATATGGTGTGAACAGCATTTTTACTGTTCTCTTTGTGCTCTGCAATCCACTCGTCTAGGCATTAGGGTTATTATTCATATCAATGTTCATTATTGTTGCTGATTAAAAGTAAACTAGACTTGTGCTGTTTAGCCATTGTTCGGTGATTCTGATAATTTCCCATGATTCCTTTTGAAAATAAAATGAAAGAAGCAAGGAAAATGAAATTTCTAAGGTTGAATATTATAGTGAATGGATTTTTACCCTAATGGGATCTATTCGGTGGATTTCAACTAGTAGGATGTCCTTAAAATTCTTGCATTTTGCATTTATGTAATACATACCAAAGAGGGATGATGGCATCTTTCGTTTTACATCCTCATGCAATCATTCTCTGTAGAAGTAACGTGTCTTCTTTGTGGTAGGTACTAGAAGTTTGTGTTTGAGTTCTATGTATAACTAGTTTGAAGTCTATAGACAAGTTGTAATACACACAACAAAATGCTCTATGCAAGCTTTCCACTAACTAGTTTTGCGTTGTTAACAGATCAGTTTCCCAGACCTTAGCAACTACGATCCAGACCTTGCTTGGCCCTTGATCCTGGATAATTTTGTTGAATGGATGAGAGCTATGCAAAGCTAGGTTATGCATTTTTGGCGATATTGATTTTCCGCCCCAAATTACAGAGTCGTTAGAAAAGGTAATGTTTAGTTTTGTTTGCTCTTTGCGGCTATATACCACATACAAAGTATTTCCCTCAGTGTTTCAGTTCAGTCTGTTGAATATTAATGCTAGGTAGCTAACCCTAAATTTTTGAATGGATGGGCCTTGTCTGCAGGACACTTTGTCAAATTTAACACATGGAACGTCTTCTCACCTTCTAAATATTCATCAGGGCGCCATTTCTGCAGAAGTTAAAACCTTTGTGGTATGGACACGCTTGAGAGAGTTTTGGTACATTTACCCATGAGCTCTGATGCTACACTTTCCAATTGTTTACCTGCCACTTGATTGACTGGTTTAGCAAAATCCATTTGTTGTTGGAATTCAAAAAGGTACAATCCTTTAATTGAGAATCGATTAAATACAAAGTCATCCATTCTATTGCCTTCAAATTTAGGAACTCTTTTTAAATGTTTTGCTTTTTGTGTTTTTTAGTGGATAACATTAAACAATAAAACATTTGAGGTATAGTGACTAACCCAATCTCAGCTGCAGCCATTAAGGAAGTTCACAACCTCCTTGATTACTTACCAAAAGACAAAGCAATACGTCAATTCAGTTCAGCCACTTGAGAGTAGACTTAATTTAGAATATGTAGACTACAGATTTCTGTTTTAAGCATACAAAAAAAAAAGGGTAAAAAGAGAGAGATTCACCAATCAAACTATGGGTATCAAGTGTTTCTATCGTTAAATCTTGGAAATTGATACTTGGATACGCATGGGTACACTGACAAATTCCACAAATCCAACAAATATATGCATAATACTGAACAAGAGTTTAAAATAATTATGAATAAGATATATATATATGTGTGTGTGTGCGTGTGTTATGTATATATGTATATATGTATTTGTATATGTATTCAGATAATGAATCCATTAGTAGTTAGGACATCAAACATACGCTAGACTATTTTACAAACTATTTTGTGTTGTTATTTATTTAAACTATTAATTAGTAATTGCAAAATTCTACCATTATCATCACCATCATTTAAACTATTAGTTAGTCAGCAAGTTTTTTTTTTTTCAGTAAAAAAATTCTGAACAAGTTTATCAGAAAAATTACACATTGAGGGTTATTTTTGCCTCTTACCCAAACAGCTTCATTCCGCATCTCCGTCTTCAGAAAGAGCCTTTGTTCAGAATTGGCTGTGACGGCCAAAGTTTTCTCACTAATAGAGATTATTTGTTTCTAGGAAAATCTATGCCGCTGGAAAGATATGACAGAAAGGAGTCTGGCTTCGGTCAGGGCAAAGTCCGTTCCAACAGCCTTTACAGCTTTACGTCGGGAATATCTCCCTATTTGTGTGATTTATTTCATGAGAAATATTCTCAGGTTTCAGCGAGATATTTCCAATGCAAGGTTCAAGGGGCTGCTCGAAAAGTGTGAGCATCGAGTTGATCTCACAGAAGCCGAACTCCACCAAAAGGGCTTTGAGCGAATTTGATTAAAAACTATCTGATTGGTTATCATTTTTATGATACCGTTGATTGGTTGCTAGTTTTTCTAGCATCATAGTGTATCCCACTATCCTTCATTTAACTATTGATCTCAAATTAAGGTTGATTTGACTTAGAATGTTGATCGTTAAGGTGATTTGGCTTGATTCGGTATTTCAATTTTCTCAATTTGGGGGGTGGGGGGTGGGGAAGAGAGAGAGAGACCTTAGGCCTCATTCATTTTTCAAAGTTATTTATTTGGATAAATTCACTTACTAGTGTTATTTTGATTCTTAGATAAGTAATACAATGACCTTTTTTAAATCATAAAATATCATTATTAGAATGGATAAATTCACTTACTAGTTACTTATCCACCCCTATAAGTGATATACAAGAAAAAAAAACTTTATTGTAGGGGCCCACAACTTACAAAAAAGTGAATATGGGAAAGTTGATCAACGAGAACCATTTTTTCATTGACCAACTTTCCTTCCACTTATTTCCCAAAAGTTGAATGGGGACGTACTTTTTGTTGAAAATTATTTTCCTAGTTCATCGATAATCTATTCAAACATATTGGCTAACACCCACATAGACCTGTTCATGGGCCGGGTTCGGGCTGGGTTTTGCCTCTACATTAACAAAATATGTTCAGGCCCGAGCCTGAGCCCAGCCCGACCATCAAGCCTAGGTCTTGAGTTCGAGCCTGACCCTCATATAAAGCTTGAAGCTCGGGGCCCAAACCCGAGCCTAGTTAGACATTTGAAAAAAAACAGATTTTTTTTTCCTTTTTAATTCAATTAAAAGCTATTTTATTTATACTAAAAGACCTCAAAACCTAAAAAATTATGAAAAGTCTCATTATTACTTGAAAAAAGAGAAGAAAAACAAAGAAAAATATATTATATACATGCTTTTTATTATATAAAATATATTTTTATTAATGTAATACATTATCAAGTCGGGCTTAGGATTAGGCCGGGCTTTTTCGAGAAAGCCCGAGTCTGGCCCAAAAAAAAGTCAAGCCTGAGCTCGAGCCCACGAATCTCAAATCTTGTCCATGCCTAACTTAGATCGGGTCGGCCCGTCGGGCTACCGGCCCATGAACAGGTCTACACTCACATAAAGAGTTGTGAACTCTTGGTTCGTGGGCAAAGTTCAAAGTATCAATACATGTGATATGCAAAGAAGTGTTTTTAACTTGTCATTGATTTGGACGATTGAACTATTCGAATCATCACTCAGTCACAATTCCAAGTCCATTTTTGAACTTGAGATTTGGTCAAAACCAATTGACTTAGTAAAAAACAAATGAGCTAGGTATTTGAACTGTTGATCCATTCAACTTAGTCACCACATCATGGGTTTCACATTCAATGCATGTGCAAACTTTAGGAGGCCATAAATTTGTGATTGGATGTCTAGTTGTGGTGATTTTTTTTTGCCTTGTTATTTTTTCCAAAACAACCTTTTTTTGGCCTCAAATTGTAACTTTTAGCATTTGTTTACAAATAAAAATTAAAAATATAAATTAGAGAAAATCTACGATGTCTAAAAGACATGGTATTGGAAAAGTTTTGACCAATCAAAATCCATTCATCAATTTTGATAAATAAAAGACATGGTATTGGTTATCACGTTTATGATAGTGGTTGATTGATCAGAAAGTCTTTAGACTATCATGTCTTTTCGACATCACAGTCAAACCTATAAATTAAATATAAAATAATGCATATGTTGCTTGTAGAATATAATTATACGTTAATTATTGATAACATTAAATTTGCTGATGTGACACAATTTGACCTATTCAACCTGTATGGTCGAACCACTGACCTGCAATCAGGAAAATGGAAAATTGTCGCAAAATGGAACTTCTCCCAAAATGGAAATCATACTCGTAGATTGCATATTATCACCCTATACTTTGGAGTAATGACAATTCCAACACATTTTCACTTCTCCGTTAACTGGATTGATGGAAAAGGTTAATTTATTAAAACGCTCTTTTAGGAGGTCAAAGCAGCTATTTCTTTCTTTTTTTTTGTCCACTTTGGACGAGAGAGAAAAAAAAAAGAAAATGTGGTTTTTACAAGTATGTAAAAGAAAGGACAAAATGGCCTCATAAATTAAGGATAGTTTAGCCATTTAGAAATGTTTAACAAACATATAAGTCAAATGATAACCTGTTTTGAAGTTAATTTGATAGAATACTAATGGAGAGGGCAAGATGTTGGAATTTGAAAGTTTAGTAGTATTTTGTGACAAATGAAAATTCAGGGACTATTTCACTACCCTCAAAGTACAAGGCGGTAATCTGTAATATACCGTTTTTTTTTTTTTATTTCAAGAATTGAGCCAAACATTTTTAGGAAGGGTATTAGCATTCAGTGTCCATCTAATCCTTGATGTTTACTATATAGGTTGTGATGAGGGCAGGTTTGCCCCTCCACTAACATCATGACACATGACATATCGGAACAAATGGGTGACACCCAGAATCATTTAGGCGACAACTTGTCTTATCCAAAATGATGGAGTATCAGCTAGCGACCTGGCATTGTTGCCGACCTGGCGACTTGCCCCTGGTGCCGACCTGGCAACCTGCCCCTAGTGCCGACCTAGCGACCTGCCCCTTGTGCCGACTTGGCAACCTGCCTCTAGCGCCGACCTGGCGATCTACGAGACGTGCTTGCCGTGGATTTCTGCATGCATCCCATCACTCCCGGGTCTCTCGGAAGTCAGTTCTCACACCAAATGTTTTGAGAGAAACCGAGTAAGGTGCAAAAATTGGCCTACGTGCACGACTACCTCCGAGGACTTTGGAGCAGTTAGGCACGTCCTCCCAGAGATCCCGGACGTGTTGCGTGATGCTCACGCCAAACAATGCCTATATAAAGGCCTTACCTCCAACTCCAGGGGAGATGCGTAAGTTAGTTCTCGCAGCTCTCTAGCTCTCTCACGTTTAGCTATCTTAAAATATCTTATTCGCTAACTTAAGCATCAGAGTGCCCACCCCGGGTAAAGCAACCCGAGCACTCTGACATTGTTTCCTTGCAGGTCGCATTAGAGCCACCTCTCCAGCTCGTCACCATTCAAGTAGGCAACAAAGCCATCTCTCCAACTCGTCACCATTCATTTAGGCATCAGAGCCACTTCTCCAGCTTGTCACCATTTATTTAGGCATCAGAGCCACCTCTCCAGCTCGTCACCATTCAGCTAGGCCTCTAAGACACCTTCCAAGTAGGAACCATTCAGCTAGGCATCCAAGCCACATTCCAGGTAGGAATTATTCAGCAAGGCATTCGAGTCACCTGCTAGCCTGGGAGCTGCCAAAATGCGCATCATCAATTGGCGTTGTCTGTGGGAAACGCTACAAAAGGCTATTTTCTCACCTGATTCTCTGAGCCTCAAGTAATGACATCTTCAAGCAACAACAACAGTGCTCGATCGAAAGAACCCCCTAGGGGAGTTAGAAGCAAAATGATTAGCCTAGACGAGTTCTCGTAGTCTTGCCCTGACAGAATCTCCCTAAATGTGAGGCCACCTCCATATGTCGAGCTCTATGTATTTTTTGAGAGAGTTGACGACCAATAGAATGTGAGGCCACCCCACAGGTTGAGCCCTTTGTAGTTCCCGTAGGAGTTGATAGCCAACAAACTGTGAGGTCGCGGCGCAGATCAAGCCCTCCATGCTTTACGTGGGAGTTGATGGCTAGCAGGTTGTGGAGTCGCCCTCGCAGGACAGTCTTGTCGAGGTGATGAGGTGTCTATAGGCTGAGGTGCTGAGAGAAAAACTAGACTGCCAAAATTCTGACGACCTAGTGACCTAGAGACCTGCCTCCGAACTGGCGACCTGCTTCCGCCAACTTGGCGACACATGTAATCAGCCCGGACGAGCCTTGTCAGCCCTGTTCGCGAGGTTCCCCTACAGGTCGAGCCCTC